ATGTTTCAAATGTCACCTGTTTTTTGTCACCATTTCTTCATAAAAGGCGTGATAAATACAATTCGGTTTATTGAGGTATTAACATGTATTCACATAAGTTTCTGTTTCAATAAGGGTTTGAATTTAGACCTCTGAATCTACAAATAAAAGAATACTTTCTACTGGCTAATTACTTGAAGAATCAGCCAGAAGAGGATTCTTCTTTTCATGCTGTGACTTTCCAGAGTTTATCATCTAAGCTTTCCTTACATTTAACAAAGAGTCTTTTTCTTTAATTTGAGACTGTTTTATCCCATCATTGCCTAGCATTGATTAACACATATCATTAAAACTGAATTATCGCTGTAAAGCTATTTTTAACTGAACGATTAGAACTTCTGTGTAGCTGCTTTTAAACTAAATGACCAGAATTCATGAAACACATTATAGAAGAGAACATTTCCAGGAATATTGTTGTCATAACTAGGTTTCCGCCTTAGCCGGTATTTACGCTGGAGACTAAGTAGAAATCCTTGATCGCTGTCATGAGTGGAAAAGATTTCCCAGTCATCTTCTGCCTTTCTTCTAATTTTATCCGCAACAAATAATACTTTGGTTCAGATTTAAAATGCTGGGCAGCGAAATCTATCCTCCAAACGAATTTTACAGCACAGCATTTCTGGCAAAATTTGTCTTTTGCGTCTCACATCCTCCAAAAGACTGATAGTACTTGAAGATGATGAACACGGAGTCACTTAACTTTTTGAGACTGCGGCTTCAAAATTTAACTTTTCAATTTTGTCTAAAATCCTGTTATCATTTTCTCCTCATTCACAAATGAGATGTTCATTTAAGTTCCTCCAGATAATCTGCATAGCTTTCAGATCTTTTTATCTCTCCAAATATCACTGAAAATCTTTTCATATGCATTCCAGGATCTTCTTTCGCCTTCATTTTTGAACAACGCCTAGGCAAAGTTATTTAAATTGCATATTTATATAATAAACTTATCCAGGAAATGCTTCCAGGCAAATTTGTCATCATTTTGTCTATTGATTCAGTAACAGATATACAGCAAGCTGTGCATTGCCCGAAAGAATTTTTAAATGCTCTATGAGCCCCTAAGAATACACAAGCTTACTTTAAATAGAGACTCCTTTATCATATTATTACCTAACATCGATCCGTCAAAGCTGTACAACGGATTATATGTCTCTCTCTTTGTAGGCTTACTGTGAAGGATAAGGCTCATCATGAAGAAGGTATTCCTGGATGTAATAGAGGCCACCATCATAACGGGGTACGCTGCAGTTAAAGATTTATTGATTCGTAGGATTTCGCTGATACCCAGAGATTCAAATATACCCTTGGATTTCAAACAATTGCAGTTTCAAGGCACAGAGGCGATCACTTTATGTAGCAAGTATTAACTTGGAAGTACCATGTTACTTAGAAATGCCATATTTTCCACAATTCCAATTGTACGTAATTTAGTACGATGGAAACATGGCTATGTAACTTGGAAATACCATATTTTCTACATGGCCAATCGTATTAACTTGGAAGTACCGTGTAACTTGGAAATACCATATTTTCCACATGGCCAATCATACGTAATTTGCACAAGAGTCGGCACGCTGCAATAGTCTGTTTGTTTACGCTTCGGTCGGACAAACGAAAAACTTTGTGTAATTTCAAGCTTTGGGATAAAATATGCGAAACAAATAATGCTTATTTTCTGTCCAAATAATATCTACAGTTTTATTCAAGCTTCACTCACATTGAATAAAAGTAAGAGGAGGATCACTGTCTATCTGAAATTTTGAAAAACTAACTCCATTCTCCTAAATGAAGCCTCTTCGCTCTGCATAAAACGAGAAAATGGCGGGTATAGAATTTAGTAACAAAGTAAAAAGTGATCTATTCTTTCAAACTTCCACCGGAATGGTTTGATTTTGTTTATTAAGCACACTAGTGCTATCTGCCTAAGGGGCGAGATGCCGTCGTGAAGGACTTTGTAAGGGAAACTGGCTCGTATACACATTACACACAGGTAAAACCACGAAAACGTCCATGCATCCAGCCCGTTCGCGGGATTCGAACCTCGGACCGAACTACCAGTGTTCAGCGAATTTACCGCTCGGCCGCTGGTGAGCTTCCACCGGAATGACTGGGGCACGTTTGGCAAGATCTCTACCAACCTTCACATTTGATAAAAAAAGCACGCAAGTACTCGGTAAAAATTTGACTTTATTAGTTAACAAATGTAGATATTATTTTTATTTATAGAATCAAAAAATTCTTCTTGAAGCGTTAAGCTCTTTATGCTTCATATTACATTTTTAGCTGATAGATGAAATATTTTAATTGGTCTCTTTGCATTGAAAACCATGTCAAATAAACGTAGACAGTTTAAAAGTAAACTTTAATTATTATCAGAATGTCTGTTCATAAAACTTTAATGAATTACTCTGGCAATACTTTGTTCTAAAAATATATCATTTTATAATCGTTGAGGAAACACAGTAACTCTGATTTAATTTTAGAGAAAAAAACTATACAGAACTAATATATTGTTTTAGAAAATTCTTATAATGCGTAAATTCTTTTTAAACTTAGCAGTCGATCTTTATAACTTATACAAAATGCAAATTAAGTACGCACTTTAAACTATTTGAATCTCTATGAAAATGAAATTCCAATTAAAATAGAATGTATAGTTTAAGTAACTGATTAAGTATTCCTATACATTTTATAGTTGTAATTGCATATTAACATGAAATCTGGCATCGTATTTGAATATCATCGCATTTCTTAAACAGGGTAAATACTATATATTTATATGAATTTATTTCGACGATCTTCTATGCTTGTTGTCTGCATTTGTCAACTCGGATAGATTCTAATTTCGAGGGATTTTCTTAACCTATCTAATATTTAGCTACTGCAAGAGAAAAACAATCTATTTTCAGCGAAAAAATAATAAATAAACTTTTCGCAAGCAATCCATTAGCATGGTAAAGAAAGAATCTCAAATGACGCAAAACAATAATAAAATTAAAAGAATAAGGACTTTTAGAAATAAATTCAATTTCCTCGCGTCTAGAAAGAAGGGAAAAAGCATTAAATTCTATGACGGATTTTTTTTTTTTTTTCGTTCTGTAACGAAAATAGAGAAAAAAATTCTGTCAACGACAATACAAGTGAAAACAAAAGTCTCAAATAGTAAAATACTCGTTTGAGTTTCAAACAAGTATTTTACTGTCTCAGACGTTTTTGATTTATTATAATTTTGACACAAATAACCAAAACCATTCCCAACTATGGAAAAATAAAGAAGCTTGCAGACGATTGTCAATGCTGATTCTGACATAAATTCAGTTTTATGCACGTTTTCGAATTTTTTCAGCTAATGAATAATTTAAACTTTATTTGATTTATTGCTACAAACAGACAGACGAATCTGAAAAATAACTTTGTAAGTTTGATCGAAATTCGTACAGCAATTTGCGGTTAAGATTTTATTACAGACAGAGAGTTTTCACAAATTCTGTTATTCTATTCGAAATATATAAAAATGTCATCTTTTAACAATGAAATTTTTATGTGACATTCAATTGACTAAGGACTAGAAATTGTATTCAAATATAAATTTTTATTGTGGTTAGATGCAGAGGCAATTTTTATTCTGTAAATAATCTGAAGGCAGAAACAATGTTTCAAGAAGTTGACTTAATGGAAAAAGTACTTTTAACATCAATTCAGTAGAGGGATTTTTAAAGATGGAAAATAATTCAATAAGAATTAAGGAAAAAACAGTATCTTTACTCAATATTAAAAATAATTACAGTGGCGCACATTTATTTTCGGGGATCTGTGTTTTGCAGTTTTCTTTGAAAATATCATTTTTTAATACAGAAGAATCCTGGAGAAGACATGGATGTTTTTAAATGTACAGTGTCTGTGCAGCATGGGGTCACTCTAAATATGTGGCGAGTAGAAAGTCCTATCATGTGGTTTCGTGGGAACGGAGAGGTTTTAATACCTCTGGACCAACCCCCGGGGTGCTCTCGCTCAAAATTGGGATAAAAAATAGAAGTCCAACCTCTCTTAGGACTAGGTTCTGGCAACCATTCTTTCATGAAATATGAACACGACAACAATAGCAAAAACATTTATTAACGAGCAAAAACAGTTATTAACATTTTTAACGAGCCCTGATTTAACGCTAAATTTTGCTAAAATGTTTATTAATTCTTCATTTCCCCACATTCATAACTCGTTCCGACAAATGAATGATTTATGGAGGGAGTCGCATACTTGGTTTCAAAACTAATCGCGTTCGGATTTAATTCGCTTGAAATGTTTATTTCACTAACATTATTCGGGGCGAAAGATACGTTTTGAGTATATAGACTATGGGATGAATTATTTCTTTTCTCAAAGTGAATTAGGGTGTTATGATTTTTACCGCCCTTAGCACAGGAAAATTTTGAAGAACACTGCTGTACACTCTGGTTTAAAAAAGCATTTAAAACACAATCTTGCCTTTTTAGAAATTCAATCTTATCATTCACTGATATATATTGAGATTTAGGGCATTTATATATAATTATCCAAACAGAAACTACACTTAGATGACTTCGCAGTTCTTAACAGTACAGTACCTTCAGAAAAATGCTTTTGGTTCGTGATGTTCTAGACGCTTCTAAAGTTCTTGCATGATTTTTTAGAAATTCAATTAAGTCATTCAATTTGGGAACATTATTTTTCTTACGAAATTCGCTTTCGAATCCTAATTTTGTTGAAGCATCTAATTTTTGTAACAAAACATATGCAAACATTGTATCAGCAAAACCATCAATTTTGTGTTCTAGAATTTTTAATACTCTTGTACATTTAATTAATTCTTGTACATTTAATAAATTTAGTAAAGCACTAGCAGATTCATTGTGACTAGGTGGAATTGGCATAAATCGCTTAATGTGAGCAAAACGCTGTTCTAGATGATTTGAAAATCTTTATTCTAATAGTGACCAAGCAACTTCATAATTTTGATCCAAAACTGCGATTGACTTTACGACTCGGAGTGCATCACCTTTAAGAGCTGATAATAAATATTGAAGCTTTTGTCCTTTTGACAAATCATCGTTGTTATGTACAGGAACCTTAAATAAATCATTAAAAGTTATCCATTCATAAACATTACCAGTAAATGTAGATAAATTCAGTTTTGGAAGCTTTACATCTGGGGCTATTTTAGAACAATTATCAACACTTATTTCACCCTATTCATTCTCAGTACTTTTCACAGAAAGTTTCACATTTAATTTAGGTAAGAATTTTTTTAATCTTACTTCGATTTTTTTCAGACGAAATCTCCATCTCTTCTAAATCCGTTTCTGCTTCACTAATATCTACTTTTACAGGAAATTTAAAGTAATCCTTTTGTAACTCAGCTATACATCTTTTGACGGTGCACACAGTTTCTAATTTTACTTCTAATTCGGTTATAATATCTTCACTTATCGGTTCAGCCACCGATTCTACAAAGGTTTCTAAACGGGTGATTTTACCCTTTAGGGTAGCTTTTTCACGCTTTAAAGAATTAATTTTTCTTCCATTATTATGAACACAGGTTACACAACACAATCGCTTCGGAAGAAGAGCACTTTCATTTTCACGAACTCACTATTTATAGTCGCTGATTCCTTTCTAATTCGAGCTCGTCGGCCCTTGAAAATTAATAATATAATTCACAACTTCTCAATAACTCGAAAACACTTATAAGTTAGGACTGTAGCTTTATTTCACATCTCTAAAACTATTTCAGCACTTTTCGCCACAAAGGCACTCACTTCTCCAAAGCGAGAACTTACTCTGGGTTTTTCCCTTTTTTCACAGCAGTGCTCTCTAATGGCATTTTCTACAATTTAAAGTTCATATATCAGGGATGTGAGACTAAATAGGTTAGCAGGTGAATTTGGAGTAAGAGCTGTGAGTACGATAATAAAAGAAAACCCTAACAGAGAACTTCTGGAAAACATAGAGGAATCAAAACCAAGATGGGAAGCAGAGGTTAAAGCTGCAAAACAGAAAATAAATGAAAAGGATGGAGAATGGAAATCACCAAAGAAAGTGGCGAAACCCCCAAAAAGCCCAGAACCAATGGATATAATACAGAAAAACAGATTTGAAAATTTGGATCCGAAAGTTAACGTCGAAGATGAAGAGGAGAAAATTGAGGAAATCCTACCCCCCCCCCCCCGTAGTATTCGAGCAGGCAAAATTCGAATGAATAACGATAGAAAAGGAACTCAGAAATATCTGCAAGGAAGAAATAGAAGCCAATATGAAAGCTGAATCAATTTTCGTGATTGTAAAAACTGTAGATGACTATAAGAATGCCACGAAACTACTTCAACTAAGAGGAATCCCATTTCATGCATTCCAAATGAACGCAGAAAACCACTCAGAGTCATATTAAAGAATCTCCCAGCCCATATTAAAGAAGAAGCTATTTTTGACGACCTAGAACGAATAAAATTTCCTATAAAAAAGGTGAAGCAATTCCACAGAAGCGCAAAACATAATTTTGAAAAACTACCGATCTGGCTGTTAGAACTGAGCAAGAATAAAAATGGATATGCAATTCATTTACTAAACAATATATTTAGTCTGAATATAGTTATTGAAAAATACAATCCCAAAAAGAGACCGATACATTGCTTCAGATGTCAGGAGTGGTGACACTCCCAGCATCTTTGCACTAACCAAGTAAAATGCTGCAAATGCGGCGAACAACATCGAAGCAACTCCTGTCCCATGAAAAAAGAAAAGAAACCAACCTGTATCGTTTGTAAAACAGATTACGTCTGTAGTTGCAGAGGGTGCGAATATTATCGTAAAAAATTCGAGAAGAAAAGAACACCTAATAAACCTCCTGCATTTACTTGGAAAAAAGAAGACTTCCCTACACTTACATCAGAAAAAAGAAATGAAAATCAAAAATCACAAAGACCACCTGCCAACGACAAGTCGCAGATTCAACCCAGAAAAATCCCGGAAGAAATGTCAGAAGCCATATCTTGGTTAAAAGATGAAAAGATTCAAGAACTACTCAGTAATATCATCTATCACATCAAAAAAATTAAGAAAGCAAAATCCACAGCAGAAAAACTTGCAGCAGGCTTCAAAGCAGCTACGTTCCTGTTAAAAATCGCAGAAGAGTAAACATGAACTTTTATGATACTTTCGCAGAAACGATGGAAAAATGAACTTTATCTTATTTTTCAAAAAACTTCAAAAATTCCTTCATTTCAAACTTTCCTGTTCCAAGACAGGGATAAATAGAAGGGCTAGCTCATTTCTTTGTTCGACTCCTCGCCGACGCGAGCCTAGTGGGGGGACGTAACAGGCAATAATCTGACGTCACTGTGATGCCACCTGTCCTGATTTCCCGCGTTTAAAACAGTATTTTCATTGAGCTGCGAGACGATTTTCTAGAGGTTACATATCCCAAATTAATTTTAATAATATATATATCTGTTTTCTAATAATGTATATATTTAAAATAATTTATATATATGTAATTTTAGTCAGTTTTTATTTTAAATTCTATATTGTAAAGTATCGTTTACGTAATATGGCTTTTTGCGCTGCAGTAACGTGCCGTAGCACTTACAGAAGTATGAAAGGATGAGATATTTTATTTCATGGGACCAAAGGATCCAAATGAGAGTTTTGCTTTTGACGAAAGAATGGATACACAAATGTCAAAGAGAAGATTCTATTAATGTGAAGAGCGGAAAAATCTGCAGCGAACATTTTCTATGCAGTGTTTATGAAGATGATATGAAAAATCGCTTGTTTGGATAGCCACAAAAAGAAACTGTTGAAATGGAATGCTGTGTGCCGAAAGTAAATTATGATGACAATAATAAATCGAAATTGATGATGACAATAATAAATCAAATTTTAATGATTTTGAAATAAAACTCACAAATGAAAATGTAGATCATCCTGAATGTTTAAGGATAAACAAGAATGCATTGATAATTTGAAGAACAAAATAATATCCTTAGAAAATTGTATTAAATTGTATTAAAGTATTGAAAAATAGAGAAAAGAAAAATTTTAGAATGTTTGTTCAGCGACAAAGAAGGTGGACGACATCTAGACAGAAATTGGTATCAGAAATTAAAATCTCAAATAGCGAAATTTGGGGGGGGGGAGCACAAATCGGAGAATTTGGAAAAATGTCTAAAGCCTATTTTTATAAAGACGCAGATTAATGCATTACTGAAAAAATTACTGAAAAAGAAGAAAAAAATCAGGTGGACTAGTGAAAATATTTCACGTTGCATCGTCATAAGAGCTCTGTCATCTTAAAGCTATGATTTTTGGAAAGAAAAAAAATTGGAATATCTTTACCTAGTATTATCAAATTAAAGAAATGGTGTTTATTTTATTTTTTAGTGTTTTCTAAATTTTAGTGTAGTCCAAGAATTCAAAGTAATGTTCTTACTCTAAAGAAGGAAAGAGGCGAATATTTGTATTCTGTAGAAAAAATATGCGTTCTCAGTTTCGACGAAATGCATATAGATTGAAAACTCTGCTATGACTCTAAACTGGACTAAGTTGGTTCTTTTCAAAATGTGCAGTTTGTTTTAATCAGAGGTCTCATTTCGCGCTCTGCCTCAAATTACTGAGAAACCGCGTTTTAGATAGAGGATTTGTTTTAGAAGATGTAACTGTTTTAAATTTTGATATTATTAAAGAGGTTTTAAATAGAGATTGAGAAGAAATCAAAAATTGTGAAAAAAGAAAAAAAAAACAAAACAACTGAAAAAATTAATTGAAAAAAAATAAAGACAAGATTCAACTACGAGGCTCTCTAAAATAACTAACTCACCGGTTTACAATACCGCTGCTAATTCAGCAGACTTGAAGCTCACTGGAACAATTGCCACTACTTCCCGCCAAGCACATAGGCCGCAACGCGGGGTTCTTCAATTCTCGCTAACTACCTCCGCGCTCGCTAAGTAAGAATCTCACTTCACCGAACTTGTTTCCTTCTAAAATCAGAATACTTCGCTGATAATTTGAATACTTGCGCGTATACTAAAATTTACATATTCTGGCATTGGCAGTTCCAGGGGAAAGTAAGGCTTGACAGGAAAGATAGTTTAAACTTAAAATAAATGTTAGTTAAAATAAATAAACTACAGTGTCACAAACTAAAACCAAGGTCAAGGGAAATATGAGTTAATCTACCCCACAGAAATCAGATATTCTATGAGTTAATCGATAATATCTTCGTATTATGTGTATGTGTGTATTTAATTATGGCAAAGCACACTAGGGCTATCTGCCTAAGGGGAGGGATGCCTTCGTGGAGGACTTTCTAAGGAAAACTGGCTCGTATACACGTTACACATGGGGAAAAATACGAAAACACCCATGCAGCCAGCCCGTTCGCGGGATTCGAACCTCGGACCGAACTACCAGTGTTCAGCGACTTTACCGCTCGGCCGCTGGTGGGCCTCTTCGGTATTATGAATAGTACCAAAATAGTACCAACAAGAATAACAAGTATTTAACAAACTAATTTTGTAAAGTACTTGTTAAAGTTATTCTTATTGTATCCTTTGTAACTAATTATTGATTAGATTTTGTGCTAGATTAGCATTCTAGATAAAATATAATAGTATAAAACATCAAAGTAATTGGCATAAAAAGACCTGCTTCCTTTACTCACACTTTTGAAAAATTAAATAACTGTTTTAGGTACTCTGAATAAAGCTATTTTGTCAAAATTAAGGTAACAATCTTATATACATTTATTTAATTGTAATATAGATATAAGTATAAATTACAAAATTATTTAAAAAATATCTATTATATTGAATCGGAAGAGAATTATAACAATGTAAAATTTACAATTAGGCAAAAAATCAAACGTAGGTTAGCAGAAATGTTGCCATATATGTCATATATGTTTAAACCTATGTCGATGTAAAGTTGTTTTTTGAGTAAATTTAAATAGCTGCTATCTTAGAAACAGCATAAAAATTCTCTCAGTTAGCATGCAAATAAAGAAATGATTAGAAATAAACGTGCATTAAATAAAAAAACCTGCAAATAAAAATTAAAAAAAACCACGGAACTTTATGTTAAAAGAGTAGCACATTTTATCTATTATTTTAAAATTGAGTAAGCATTATTAAATTTTTTAATGGTTCAGTCTAAAATGCATAAAGCAGTAACATTGCCTCTTCCAAATTATAGCTATCTTTCACACACAGCTCATTTTAAACGCTGGTTCAAAAACGCTAATTTCCAAGCTGTGAATTATATTGGCGCGCTCAGTGTCATCATGGCTACGTCATCACTTCTCACTTTCTGCTTCAGGGGGGAAAGCTCTATGAGCTAGCCCTTCTCTTTTAAGTCCTGGTTCCAAGATGCTTCCATAGGGGTCAGTACTTGGGTGGGTGACCAATCATGTGACTGGCCTCGACCAATCAACTTTCGACACTCAGAGAGGAGGAGTCTATACAGAGGAGAAGAAACGTCTTGCTTGACTTAAGAGGCATTTGCTTTCACGACCACGACTCTCTCGCCTGCGGGCGGGATGCTAAGCGCACCTTTGATTTATTTAACAAAAAACGAGCGGCCTTCGGCCTCACCTGATCTATAGGTAAAAACTCATATGTAGGTGAGACCTAGAGTTGAAAGGACGATTTTCTTTTCATTTTCAGGCAGCATAACTCGCTTTTAAAGAGCAAAACTCCAGGTATAGCGAACAATATTGCTGAGATTCTTAAAATTTATATTGACTTCCACCTCAGCTAATCCTTTCTTGGGAAAATTCCTTTAATATTCCAAAGTCAACTGAAAGTTAGTGAGGATTCATAAATCCTTCGAAGACGTGATGGCAACCTTTTTTGTCTTGGGGAGTGATCAGGATTGATTTTTTACCACCGAGTTCTACAAGTTTTATCCAGCCTATGAACCAAGAAATCATCAGAAGCTGGAAATCAAACTTTTGTAAGTGGATGATTTTGATGTTTTTCGACAGAAGAGACAAAAATAGGAACAACCTCAAATGCTAATATAAACGTACTCGAAGCAAAACGTTTAATGAACGATGAATGGGAAAATGTTATATCAACATGCAAAATTACCAGCTGCTTCCGTAAAAGCTGATTGGACATTTCTCAAGAACGACAAATCACTGTGGAAGTACAAACAGAAGTAGACATCTTGGAAAATTTGCGAATATGTAGAGAATAATTTGAAAATTATGTACCTGTTGGCGCCAATATTACGATTTCTGAAATAAATGCTCCCGAGGATATTGTAGTACCGGGAAGTTTAAAGTTTCAAACAATTTTGATTCATAATAATGCATATAGATATCAGCCAGGATGGGACTTCCCGGTATAGTTCCGCTACATAGACAATACTTTTACCCTGTTTG